GTAGGCTGGATCGCGCCGAGGTGAAGAAGGCGAACTTGAAGAAGGCGAAGTCCCTAAACAGGGCCGAGTCAGAATAATGATATGAGGGCGGATCAATCGCCGGAGAATAATGGCTCAGGGGATCGCGCCGAGGATAGCACTTGAAGAAGGCGAAGTCCCTAAACAGGGCCGAGTCAGAATAATGATACGACTTCAGGGCGGATCAACCACGTAGGCTGGATCGCGCCGAGGTGTAGCACTTGAAGAAGGCGAAGTCCCTAAACAGGGCCGAGTCAGAATAATGATACGACTTCAGGGCGGATCAACCACGTAGGCTGGATCGCGCCGAGGTGTAGTACTTGAAGAAGGCGAAGTCCCTAAACAGGGCCGAGTCAGAATAATGATACGACTTCAGGGCGGATCAACCACGTAGGCCGGATCGCGCCGAGGTGTAGCACTTGAAGAAGGCGAAGTCCCTAAACAGGGCCGAGTCAGAATAATGATACGACTTCCAGGGCGGATCAACCACGCAGGCCGGATCGCGCCGAGGTGTAGCACTTGAAGAAGGCGAAGTCCCTAAACAGGGCCGAGTCAGAATAATGATACGTCTTCCAGGGCGGATCAACCACAGGCTGGATCGCGCCGAGATTAGCACTTGAAGAAGGCGAAGTCCCTAAACAGGGCCGAGTCAGAATAAACTTTCAGGGCGGATCAATCGCGGAGACGGGATCGTGCGAAGGTGTAGCACTTGAAGAAGGCGAAGTCCCTAAACAGGGCCGAGTAAAAGGCTGGATCGCGCCGAGGTGTAGCACTTGAAGAAGGCGAAGTCCCTAAACAGGGCCGAGTCAGAATAATGATACGGATGCCGAGGTGTAGCACTTGAAGAAGGCGAAGTCCCCTAAACAGGGCCGAGTCAGAATAATGATACGACTTCCAGGGCGGATGAACCACGTAGTTGGATCCGCCGAGGTGTAGCACTTGAAGAAGGCGAAGTCCCTAAACAGGGCCGAGTCAGAATAATGATACGACTTCCAGGGCGGATCAACCACGTAGGCTGGATCGCGCCGAGGTGTAGCACTTGAAGAAGGCGAAGTCCCTAAACAGGGCCGAGTCAGAATAATGATACGACTTCAGGGCGGATCAACCACGAGGCCGGATTGCGCCGAAGAGCACTTGAAGAAGGCGAAGTCCCTAAAAGGGCCGAGTCAGAATAATGATACGACTTCCAGGGCGGATCAACCACGTAGGCCGGATCGCGCCGAGGTGAAGCACTTGAAAAGGCGAAGTCCCTAAACAGGGCCGAGTCAGAAAATGATTATCTTCAGGGCGGATCAACCACGTAGGCTGGATCGCGCCGAGGTGTAGCACTTGAAGAAGGCGAAGTCCCTAAACAGGGCCGATCAGAATAATGATACGACTTCCAGGGCGGATCAACCACGAAGGCTGGATCGCGCCGAGGTGTAGCACTTGAAGAAGGGAAGTCCCTAAACGGGCCGAGTCAGAATAATGATACGTCTTCCAGGGCGGATGAACCACAAGGCCGGATCGCGCCGAGGTGTACACTTGAAGAAGGCGAATAAACAGGGCCGAGTCAGAATAATGATACGACTTTCAGGGCGGATCAACCACGTAGGCTGGATCGCGGGATGTAGGGCAGAATAATGATACGACTTTCAGGCGGACCAAAGGTTATTTCTAATGATCGCGCCGAGGTGTAGCACTTGAAGAAGGCGAAGTCCCTAAACAGGGCCGAGTCAGAATAATGATACGCTGGAGTCAAACAGGGCCGAGTCAGAATAATGATACGACTTCCAGGGCGGATGAACCACGTAGGCTGGATCGCGCCGAGGTGTAGCACTTGAAGAAGGCGAAGTCCCTAAACAGGGCCGAGTCAGAATAATGATACGACTTCCAGGGGCGGATCAAACGTAGGCGGATCGAAGCCTTGAAGAAAAGTCCCTAAACAGGGCCGAGTCAGAATAATGATACGACTTCAGGGCGGATCAACCACGTAGGCCAAGGGAAGTCCCCTAAACAGGGCCGATCAGAATAATGTCCCTAAACAGGGCGGATGACAGTGAGACGGGCCGGATATATGTAGTCTTGAAGAAGGTGGATCCTAAACAGGGCCGCAGAATAAAGACTTCCAGGGCGGATCAACCACGGGCTGGATCGCGCCGACGGACCTTGAAGAAGTCCCTAAACAGGGGGCAGTGACAGTGAGATAATATATGTCTTCCAGGGCGGATCAAGTATCCGCGAAAGCGGGATAGCACCTAAAGGTATCTCTCGACGAAGCTGGAGTCCCTAAACAGGGCTGAGTCAGAATAATGATATGTCTTCCAGGGCGGATCAACCGGCGCCGAAAGCTTGGATTGCCCTAAAAGGCGTAGAATAATGACGAAGCCTGAGTCCCTAAACAGGGCCGTGACAGGGAAATAATATATGTCTTCCAGGGCGGATCAACCGTAGGCTGGATCGCGCCGAGGTGTAGGATTGCGAAGCCTAAAAGGTTATCTGTCGACGATGCTGGCCGGTCCCGAGGTAAACTTTGAAGAAGGGCCGTCCCTAAACAATGAGATGATATATGTCTTCCAAGGCGAATCAACCACTGGAAGGGGATTGCGCTAAAAGGGAATAATCTCTTGACGAAGGCTGGAGTCACTGAAAAAGGACCGTGACAGTGAGATAATTTTTTTTTCCAAGGCAGATCAACCGTTAAAGCGGGATTGCGACCAATGGGTATCTCTCGACGATGCTGGAGTCCCTGAACAGGGCCGTCAGAACAATGAAATGATATATGTCTTCCGAGGTGGATCAAGCGCGAAAGAAGGGGATTGCACCAAGGGTTATTCAGGGCGGATCATGTGTCGACGGACCTGGAGTCCTTAAACCTAAACAGGGGGGCCGCGACAGTCCAGGGCGGAGATAATATATGTCTTCCAAGGCGGATCACGCGCGAAAAGCAGGGCGGATAGTACCTAAAGGTATCTCTCGACGACGTAGGCTGGATCTGGAGTCTCTAAACAGGGCCGTGACAGTGAGATAATATATGTCTTCCAAGACGCATCAACCACGAAGTCCCTAAAAAAAGGGCGGATTGCACGAAAGGGTATCTCTCGACGAAGCTGGAGTCTCTAAACAGGGCCGTGACAGTGAGATAATATATCTCTTCCAAGGCGAATCAACCACGAAAGCGGGATTGCGCTAAAGGGTATTTCTCGACGATGCTGGAGTCCCTAAATAGGGCCGTGACAGTGAAATGATATTATGTCTCCCAAGGTGGATCAAGCGAAAGCGGGATTGCACCAAGGGTTACTCTCGACGAAGTTGGAGTCCCTAAAAGGGCCGTGACAGTGAGATGATATATGTCTTCCAAGGCGGATCAACTACCAAAGCGGGATTGCGCCAAACGGTATCTCTTGACGAAGCTGGAGTCCCTCACTAGGGCCGTGACAATGAGATGATATATGTCTCTCAAGGCGGATCAAGCGCGAAAGCGGGATTGCGCCAAAGGTATCTCTCGACGAAGCCTGAGTCCCTAAACAGGGCCGTGACAGCGAGATAATATATGTCTTCCAAGGCGGACCAACCGCGAAAGCGGGATAGCACCAAAGGGGTATCTCTCGACGAAGCTGGAGTCTCTAAACAGGGCCGTGACAGTGAGATGATACATGTCTTCCATGGCGGATCAAGCGCGAAAGCGGGATTTTCCCAAGTGGTATTCCTCGACGAAGCTGGAGTCCCTAAAACGGGCCGTGACATTGAGATAATATATGTCTTCCAAGGCGGATCAAGCGCGAAAACGGAATTGCGCCAAAGGGTATCTCTCGACGAAGCTGGATTCTTTAAACAGGGTCGTGAGAGTGAGGTGATACATGTCTTCCAAGGCGAATCAACCACGAAAGCGGGATTGCGCCAAAGGGTATCTCTCGACGAAGCCGGAGTCACTAAACAGGGCCGTGACAGTGAGATAATATATGTCTTCAAGGCGGATCAACCGCGGAAGCGGGATAGCACCAGCGGGAATCTCTCGAGGAAGCTGGAGTCTCTAAACAGGGTCGTGACAGTGAGATGATATATGTCTTCCAAGGCGGATCAAGCGCGAAAGCTGGATTGCGCCAAAGGGTATCTCTCGACGAAGCTGGAGTCTCTAAACAGGGCCCTGCGTGTGAGATGATATATGTCTTCCAAGGCGGATCAAGCCCGAAAGCGGGATTGCACCAAAGGGTGTCTCTCGACGAAGCTGGAGTCCCTCAACAGGGCCGTGACAGTGAGACGATACGTCTTCCATGGAGGATCAGCCGCGGAAGCAGAATCACGCCGAAGGTTATCTCTCGGTGAAGCTGGAGTTCCTAAACAGGGCCGTGACAGTGAGATAATATATGTCTTCCAAGGCGGATCAACCCCGAAAGCGGGATTACGCCAAAGGGTATGTCTCGACGAAGCTGAATTCCCAAAACAGGGCCATGACAATGTGACGATACGTCTTCCAGGGAGGATCAACCGCGGAAGCGGGATCACGCTGAAGAGTATCTGTTGACGAAGCACCGGGAACATCGAAAATGCAGTGTACGGATACTTCACTTTGATCCTAATATTTATTTGCAGAAAAATACAAAATGTGCCACAAGGGAGAAGAGGAACGTGAGGGGAAAGGATTGGTCTTCTTTAGTCTCAACTCACAACTAGCTAGTCACTCTCACAGGTGACATTCGTTCATTTTCCTTTCATCATAACAACACATTTGCACTTAACTCTCACACCACAGTCACCAAAATACATCATTTACTCAAAGAAAATCCTAGCATGACATTTATTTACGCAAATTATGGTGCGGGGAATACATGCAAAATCAATGATCATATACAATGAATGAAATGTATGTACAACAATATAAATAATTGTAAGTATCTGGACCCGTCCCAAAGTGAAAGAGTGGCAGAAATCCTGGTTAAATGGGTGAAATGGCCAGATATTGGAAATATCTGATCTCGCCAGAGAACAAAGATATCTGTTACCTAAAACGGGGATAAGGGAGGTGGAGGGAGGGATTGGAGTAGGAAATATCTGTGCGACAAAAAGAGGGGGGGACTCTACACTTTCATACTCTAGCTAATTTTGACAAAGTTGGTCAAAAACAGAAAATCTACCTGACTTTAACCGGGTCTAGGATGACTAACATTTCGGTGAGCGGCCCCAAATCCTCTTTCATAAGTCGCGTCCAACAACCACTCCAGGTCAGCACCTCTCACACGCACCAATCGCGAAACTCTCACCCAAAGTTTGCCGAATTTCGACGAAGAGAGACGCACCTTTTCCGCTCTGCTCTTAACTTTAAGCTGATGCTTAAAGAAAGAGAGCAGATGAAAAGAGAACTCGCTTCCGTGAAATTCCTTCTGTCGCGTCGTCCATACAATCATTCGCATAATGCCGAGCTGGTCTTTTGACATTGGCGGTACCACAGTGGCACAAACGGAGCTGGCTTCCAGGACGAAAAACGTTCCGACCAAGATGCGAACCATGTAGCCTTCAATCAGCCTACACAACGGGTGTACAACGCTACGCCAGTTCTGCCGCGTAAAGCTTCTTGCCGATCCAGAGAGCCTCTCGCAACACAAGTCAGGTGAGTGATGCCTCGTCGTTGTTGAGACATTTCAACCCAGGCGCTCAAGGCAGGACGGAGTGAAACTCCTTATTCGTAAGACCGAGCTCGTCCTGGAGTTTGTCTTTGGCTTCTACCCTCACTAAAACTCGATATAATGCCTTCTGAAGGCCTGGGTGTCAAGGAGGCGATTCTTCACTTGTAAGAAGCAGCACGGTGCATTTCGACATTCCTTATAGAAGGGGGCATTCGTTATGAGGCGTTCGGTTTGCCTCCACCTCTCCCACAAGCACACTTCCTAGAGGTGGAAAAAATGGGCGAGAGTTTTCCTTCCAGAATTCGCCCGCCTCCTCCTCCCCATCTTCGGTACACATCCGTTGCTGGAAATTCAGGTGCAGCGTATGTTGACGAGCCTCAACGCTGGGCATTTCTAGACCGCCTTTTGCAGGATGGAGGCAGCGGACCTCGCGACGTACCAGATGAGCCTTCCCTCTCCAGAGGAAATCGAAAAGTTCTTCAACGAAATTTTGTCGTTCGGGAGTGGAAGAACGGAGAGACGGTAAAGAAGAATTGGGTAAATGTGCGAAATGCACACTTCCGCCCTCCCCTTGAAGCTGTAACAGAGAGAGAGAGATATACACACACACTCACATGCAAATATAACTTTTATTGACTGGAAGTAGAAATGGTGTTTATATATCAAAGTACAATTTGGGTTAAGATGTGTGTTTACCGATGAGAAACACGATCTCAGGCAGGAGGCGATGTTTTAAATCTGGGTCATTAGAAAATACAATGAAAAAATGATCTAAATAAAATTTATCGGTTAAAAATTGAAATAGAGCTTACTCAGGCTACGAGATATTTGGTTTTGTTTAACAGTATTTGTTTTGATTAAAAGGTTGAATCAATGTTTAGATATCACAAAGTATAATTTTGGGGAAGATAATAATGGTAAAATAATTGTAAATAATTGGAGAATCTGTTTACATGTCAAGGGACAGTTTTTGGCACTCATGATAATCGCGTGCCGGGCCAAGGGTCGATTCATGAGCAAACAGATTTATCTATATAAACCAGCGTAGTTATGCTGAAGAGGAAGCAGACGGTCGAGTGAGACGGAAGAGGCCAGACGGGAGAGACCGCGATCGGTCGGCACATCGTTGTCACGTGCGTGAGCACCCGCAGGCGACCATTACGGGTCGCGGTGCTACTAAAAGACGGGAGAGAGACTCGGAGAACGAGACCGTTGTCGAGAGAGTCACGAGAGATTTGCGGGAAAATTAGAGGAGGAAGACTGCCTCCTGTTCTGAGAAGTCTGTATGAGACTGGACTATTAGTCATAAACCTACCCCAGGCGATTCAATACGCGTTTATCACACACAAACCCTCTATCTGTTGGGAATTCGCTGGATGCATTGTGTCTTTTTCTTTTTCTTTTCTCATTTATGTTAAATGTTTTTATTCTCCCTGTAACCTCTGTTCTGATGTTACTTTCTTATATAAAAGACGTCAATATTTCCCCCATTGTTGTCTGGCTTCTGCAGATATTATTTCTTGTTTTATTTTGCCACATTCTAAACTTCCTACCGCCAACTCTCACAGCCGTGTCCACACCCCCGTGTCCACACCCCCAGTCGACCGTGAACGTATGGACAACATCCCGCTTACTGGATCTAAAAACTAACACAGCGTGGGCAGCGAGCAAGACTTGACCAGTTGACCGGACGAAATAATCTACGGGTACTCAGGGAGCGTACGGCCTGTTACCCATAAGTTCGGTTCGGACTGAGTGGACACCTCAACCCAAAAAGGAAGACGCCGTAGATTGAGGGGCTGGGGACGAAGTGGTAGAAAGGAAAGATTCCTTAGAGTCCACAGACGCACCGCTTCCTTCACTTTCTTCCGAAACTCCGACCAGTTCGGAGTTCGTACCAGTTTGTATCTGCTTCGGTCCAGCTGAAGGCCGGGACCGAACCAGATATCGAGTAGCTTAACGGGTCCGTCTGTTCAGCTGAAGGGCGATGACACCCCCACCCCCAACTCAACTGCAAGCCGACAGACTTATCGTGATTGATCTTGGCCCCCGCCACGGTTACTCTAAAAAAGAACACCTGGTAAAGAACGCATGATAAAAACGGCCTTAAACGTGATGAAAACAAAGTTTTATCGTCAAAATGTTTATGCTATTATTAAGACCAAAGTATTTTTAGATTATGGCATTAAATTTTTCCATCCTTTTTAGAACATTCTAATTTTTGATTAAAAAATTTTGTTTCTCTTTGCGTCAAAGACAGCAAATTTTGGCGCATTTTCTTTGCAATGACAGACATTAATTTGGAATATCTTGCAAAAATTAAAAAAAATGTATTAATGAAACATTCAGAAACTATTCACAAATGATTGAAAGTATTTTATTTTATTTTATTTTATTTTAAAGTCATGGTAAAAATATATTCTTTACATCTGTGTGGTAGGATTACCTTCCCTGTCTTATGATTTGTATAAATAAATTATCTTAGCCAAAACGGCAAGACTCTTCAGTTAGGTAAGACCGCTATTGGCCTTTTTTCATTTGCGACCAGCATTACTGCGTTTGAAAAATCACTGCGTTTTAACTGATTTTATTTTGTTATTTTCGAAACCGTTTTCAATTTTTCAGTTTTTCTTTTGCTTCTTTTTCGTGCATTATACATTTTTGTTTCTTTTCTGTTTATTTCATTTTTGTATTTTGACCCTCTCCCTGTCTTTATTTACCTATTTCGTATTTCTTTGTTTGAGTTCTTTCGGGTTTATATTGGCTTTATTTTTCCACGTTCTTGTTTTATTTGGTTCTTCAAAATTCTGTCGTGTATTTTATGCCTGTTAAAAAAAATACATATAGGAAAAGTTTAATTCGTTCTGTCGTGGTGGCTACCATGAGTGAAAACTTAGAATCACCGCCGTTGCAAACCGAAAATTTGTCACCAGCAAAAAAACATGCCTGGTCCGAGAGCGGGCCTAAGAAAAAGGACTCCGCTTATTACGAGGAACAACGGCAAAAGTATGAGAAATATCTGCACGGTAACGAGTTCCTTAGAATTCCGGAGGTGATATCTTTGCTGACCACAGATGTGAAAAGTCACAAACTCATTGGAGTCAGCAGAGACAATATGGAGGCATTAAAAAGCCTCAAAATTATCCCGAAAATTCTGTCTCGAAGAAGTAATGCGATGTGGGATCTTCTTCTCAGCTCGGAGCAAGAAGCGAAGCAGCTAGCAGGGAGTATCCTAGCTACATCTACTTTGCGACTCTAGACGGAGTACATGGGAACAAGAAAGACAAAACCCTGGTTCAAGATCAGCTCAACTTAACTGCTTCTCCAACTCAACTCCAACTGCAACTACTCTGCTGAACGACCCATCAACGGTCGTTTATATGGGTACCGACCAAAACCCGGAGTGTGGGCCCGACGCGGCCTGGGGTTCTCGGTAATCTCTATTTCTAACAAGAAATCTTTGTTGTCAGAACAGGAAAATTGATTATTTCCCATCTTTGGAAAATTAACCACTTCCCATTTCGCAAGGGAAAGTCGGAGGAGAGCTATCCTCATAGACTCTTTCTCTCTTACATTGATATCTCATACCAATCCCTTCAGTGGGCGTTAACATCTTCTCTGTCTTTCTCATCCTTCACCATGCTACTCTCGGCGATAACTCGACAGGACAAGACCTCACACGTGGTTTCTTCCGCGAGCTATTTTTGTAAATAAAATTAAATCTTTCCTTTAACGTCGATTAGTCTATCTTTCGTTATAGCTCTTTCTTTTCGCTTTAAGAATGTCTATTTTCTGTTTTAATTTCTATGGTTAATTAGTTAACCAATTACCATAGCTAAATAGTGTCACACAGGAGCAGCTAATAAGCTTAGTGCAGTGGGAGTTAGTGGGGGCGGTTATCGGGAATAGGTGGTGGGAGAGACTTAAGAGTAGGATTAGGTCGTTTCCAAAGACGCATAAGGCTAGTTTTTCCCGGGCGGTGGCTACCCATAGAGATAGCCTTAGCTAGGGAGACCCTGGAGCGTTTGACTAGCGAGCGCTACATGGGCCAGGTAATTAGACATAGATTAAGCAAGATGTCTTCCAAAGACTTGCGCAAGGAAGAGATCCGTCGATCGTTACATTCGTGAAGTCAAGACCCCGGAGGGGCATACTCTTCAGGCCACTGACGACATGTGCGAAGCATTTCGGCGGCATTTCGAGAGCCGCTTTATCCAAGGAGCCTGGTCTCCGTGATGAGGAGTTTCGTAGCTATTTGGCTGACTTTCCTCGGCTTTCGCCGACTGAAGCTGCTATCTGCGAGGGTGAGATCATGGAGGGCGAAGTCTACGCGGTATTGAAGAAGGTCGGCAGAGGTAAGTCGCCCGGCCTGGATGATTTGCCTTATGAATTGTACTTGAGGCTGTCGCACATCTTTATCCCGATTTTGACTGTGGTGTTCAACAACTGGTTCCGGTAGGGGTCCATCCCCAACCAGCACACCAGGGGTGTGATCACGCTGTTGAAAAAGGGCAAGGGTATTGGGGGGCACTTAGACGATTACAGGCCCATAACTCTGCTAAACACAGAGTTAAAAATTTTGGTCAAGATCCTGTTGGGTCTGGAGCAGACTTGTGCTGTGAGGGGCCGAAAACTTTAGAGCAACCTGCATCTGATCCGCACGATCATAGAAGGAGTAAAAGACGAGGAGAAAGCCGCGCTGATCAATTTGGATCAGTCCAAGGTATCTGATAGGGTTGACCATCGCTACCTTGCTCCTGTTCTGCAGGCCGCCGGATTCGAACCCGACTTCTGCCGCTGGATTTGCTTCCTGTATCGCTCCTCCAGTGCTGTGGTACAGGTGAACGGTAAGCTGTCGGGCGCTTTTGCGCTGTCTAGGTCGGTTCGTCAGGGTTGTCCGCTGTTGCCCCTATGTTTATGCTTTGGCGTTGGAGTCTCTCCTTCGTCGGCTGAGGGACAGGGGGTGCAGTTCGGCCCTACGTGGAATCGCCGTTCCTGGAGTGGCTCGAGGCAGGGTTTCCGCATACGCCGATTATGTATCTGCTTTCGTGTCGTATCGCAGCGACATTGAAGCGGTACTGAAGGCGCTTGATTGGTACGAAAAGGTGACAGGGGCCAAAATTAACCACGACAAGTCGTCCGGCTTACGGTTAGGTGCCTGGAAGGTTTTCGATCTTTCGGGGCTCTTCGGTTGGACGGACGGTCCTGTCCGCATTGTTGGAGTGTAGTTTGGACCCGACCTCCAGCTGGAGAAAAATTGGTCTGAAGTACGAGCAAAGGTCGACGTGGCCGGTCAGACTTGGCGTCGACAGAGGTTGTCCGTGAAGGGCAGGGCGGAGGCGTGTGCCACTTACGTTTTCCCATTGTCCTTTATCGATTGTCTGTACTTCCTCTCTGTAAAGACCATAGGAAGCTGCTCGAGCGCTCGCTATCCTCCATTTTATAGAGGGGACGCGGGCATCGGGTCGACAGACGAGTTTGTGCACAACGTCCGTGTCATGGGGGTCTGGGAATGTTACACTTGGTGAGCCACAAACTCGCCTCGAGGTTGGCTTTCCTACGCTGCGCATTGACAGGAGATTCGATTATGGCGGGGATTGTTAGGGACGTGTTTCCTTTCCTTACTATCAGTCCCCCCATCTCGCGGGGTGAGCGCCATTGTAAACTCTGGGATCAATCGGATTTCCTTCCCGGGTGTCAGTCGGCCTTGTTGGCTGTTCCTCGGTCCAGTGAACTTTCACAGCCTAGGACGGTCTTCTATCGTCATTTAGTGGAGGGGATCGCGAAGGATTCTCTACGTGAGTGGCTCGACTTGTCGGAGGAGGAGTTTCGCTCTTTCTGGTCTTGGGCGCCAGCGGCGGATTATCTCAGTAACCTTGAGTTTTCGTTTACCTGGCGATTGGCTCGGAATCGGCTGCCTCTCAATGACAAGGTCTTCATATGGAGCTTGGTGGATTTGCCAGTCTGTGAACGGTGTGGCCTTGGTTTAGAGGAAATGACTTCGCACGCCTTTTACCATTGCCCCCGGGTCCGCCCCTTATGGGACCATGTCGGCAAGTTGACGGCTCGTCTCTCTCCCGAAAAGCTCGTGCTCATTTATCGCGTATACGCGTGTGACAATGTGTCGCCTCCGTATTCCGGTATAATGGTGTTTCTGACGCTGCTGACCACGGTCCGAATGGTGATTTGTACGACGTGACAAGAGGAAGTCTTGCGAGGCAACCATCTTTCTTATCACGATCTGATCCGATTCTTTGAGCATCAGCTCAAGATGAAGATTAGAACTGATAGAAAACGCTTGCATTCG